TTTGGCCCGGCCGGGCAAGTAGTCCCCGGCCACTCTGCTTGCCTAGGTTACTAAAATCGAAATTCCTTACCAAATTTTAAATAAAATATAAAGTCGACAATTTTTTATTTTTTTATTTTTCATTTTTGGCCCGGCCGGGCAAGTAGTCCCCGGCCACTCTGGTTGCGTAGGTTACTACTAGTAATAACATGAAATAGAGGAGGACCGACCAGGCAAGTGGTCCCGGGCCACTCAGGAGCAGGATATGATCTTCGACGTTGTGCGAGCTTCTCTCTCACACACTTCCCCGCATCATTCTTCTCCCAAGCGCATCTCCTTCTCTGTGATGCCGATCCAAAGGGGCCAACAACAGACTAAATCCATTGCACCTGCCGATCCAAAGGCGCCAACAAACAGACTACATCCATTCCCCGTCCAATTAATCAAAGAAGAGAATAGAAATCGTAACTATATCATTATATATACATATATCATATATGTATACACCCCATCATCATCTTCTACATCTTCTACATCCGTTCATAATCACCATCTTATCCACTGGAAATCAACAGATCCGTTCATAATCATCGAGCAAGCCGATCAGATCACGATCGCTGTCATCGATCTGTTTTTCCTTTTCCTTGACCGGAAAGCTGCAGAAATGCAGGCAGGATCCAGCCGTCGCTCGGAATGGCGCGCAGCTGAAAGACAAATTAGGAAACAAACACACAAATGAAACAAACCACGCATTAAAAATAATAAAAAATAATAATAAATGAAAAATTAAAACGATAATATACTAATTATCTAGGCTACAAGAGTGGCCCGGGTCCACTTGCCCAGCTGGGCCAAAAAGGAACATAAAAATTATTTTTTATTTTAAATTCGGTACAGAATTTCGATGTGACCCTGAGGCAAAAGTTGTTCAATTTATTTTTCTGCATAACATAGTTTTTATTCGCATTTTTTGGGTTTTTTTTTTTTTTTTTGGCCGGAACCTTCCCTGTCCTTGCACGGCCGGGCCGCCCGAGGAAATAGGGTGACCCGGGCGGCCCGGCTGGTAGCCTAGCTAATTATTACAATCCAGGCACACACCCAGACAGTCAGACAACAGTTCCACGAAACTGCCTTGTCAGTCCTTTTTTTTTCTTTTTTTTTTTCTTTTTCTTTTTTTTCTTTCTTTTTCTTTTTTTTTCTTCTTTTTCTTTTTCTTTTTCTTTTTTTCTTTCTTCTTTTTTTTTTTTTTTTTTTTTTTTTTTTTTTCTTTTCTTTTTTTTTCTTCTTTTTCTTTTTCTTTTTTTTTCTTCTTT